CTCCTTTTTTTCTCTCTCCCGTATTCTTTCTTTCTTTCTTTGGATATCTTCTTCCTTATCCTCCACCTCCTCATCCTCTTGTCGCCATCATCTTCGGCGTCATCGTCGTCGTCGTTGTCGTCGTCGTCGGTGTTCTGTCCCTTCCAACCAAACCAACCGACCGACCGACCGACCGACCGCCCGACCGACCGACCGAACGAACGACCATCCAACCAAAGAACCAACCGACCGACCACTCTCTGGCATCTGTGAGAATAATGGTCCTGACGTTCTCAAGTGGGTTCTTCGCCGAAAGTGTACGCACGAGCGCGTCCGTATGTGCGTACGTATGCCGGCGGCATCACGCAAACGATACCTCGCGGTATCTCTTTTTCTCTCTACGTAAAATGGTTTATATATAGCCTTATATGTATGTATGTATGTATATGTGTATGTGTGTATACGTGCGTACATTCGCGTGAGAGAGAAAGATATAGACAGGATAAACGAGGCGTTTCACGAGTAGTAACGTGCCGCCGAGGACAGTTATCTATACCTATCTCTTTCTCTCTCTCTCTCTCTCTCTCTTTCTCTCTCTCTTTGTACGTGTAGAGTGAGCTCGTTTGGACCTGGATATCCTCGGGGCCGTGTGTGTTACGTTGGATTCGAATAACCTCGATGAACAAACGCGCCTGAATAGATACCGTAAAATCTAAATCGTTTTGAGCTTGACGATGATACAAGATTTACGATGGAACTTGGTCGAATTCGTTCGATCGTTCTGATAATAAAAATGTCGTTACCTCGAAAAAGAGAATGTGAGAGAGAAAGAGAGAGAGAGAGAGAGATAATATCGTGGCGGAAACACATTTCGTGAAAATAGAGTCACGGTAGTAGAGTAGTAGTCTACTTCAATCGGTGAAACATCAAGAAAAAAAAGTAAGATAGGTGGAATTTCTATGGAATTTCGTTTTGGACGGTATTCGAACGACACCCGGTACGTGACGTCGAAGCAGGTACTAGGTACGGCGCATTCCGGTGAAGCGAACGTGGCTCTGCACGCGGTATACCTATCTTCAACGGTAGCGTGCGAGCCGTGCGGGCGTGGAAACGCGACGGTGGTTGCCACTCCGACCAAGAATGAAAAAAAGAAACAGAGATTGAGTGAGAGAGTTAGAGAGTGTGAGAGTGAGAGAGAGAAAGAAAGGATAAAAAGAACCGAGAACGAGCCGCGCCAACTCGGGCTATACGCCACGCCGCCGCCTACGCCGTGTCCAAAAAGTTTTCAACATAAATCAAAACGCGGCGCACCGACACCCTTCCTCATCCCTCGTTCTACTCGAAGAGCCACCACACTGTGAAGGAAACTCCCGGACTAATTTCGACGAATCCCTTGGATATGTCCTCCTACGCGCGACACACGTGATGCAATGAATTTCAAGAAAGAGAACAAAATAAAACAAAAAAAGGAATGATTAGCACCCAACAACGATTTACTTTTATCATCTATCGTCTGAGTTCAATCAAAGATGAAATATTTGTCGATACCATAACGAAGATCAAATCAATTTTGTATATCGATCGTACAGAGAGTAAGAAAAAAGAAAAAAGAAAGTTAGATAAAGATCGATAGATCGCGATATGTTAAATATAAAAAAGAAAAGCAACAAAATATCCAAAAGGTTGAAAGCATTAGAAAATTCCCAGAAGAGTGAACGTATCCATCCTATCGATCAGGTATCGGAGCCGCGTCGCTAAAGATTTCTCTGAAAGGATACGGAAAAAAAAAAAAAGGGAAAAAAGTGGATTCGAAGGGTCTCTGACGATACAAAGTTTCTTCGTGGAGGCCGGGCGCGTGCAAAATTTCGAAACGATTGACCGACCGACCGACCGACCGACCGACCAACCATTCGTCCCGTCTGTCCGCCCTCTCTCATGTTCTCTCTCACACATACACACATATATTTCCTCTCATGCGCACGCATACGAAAATATATAGCAGGCAGACCAGGCAGGCCAGGCAGGCAGGCAGGCAGGCAGGCAGACATCCGTAGAGGAAACCTAAAATGAGAAGAAAGAGACAGAGAGAGAGAGAGAGAGAGAGAGAGAGTGAGGGACGAGAGAGAGCATCACGAAACGGCGCGGTTCTCACGCACGGTCACACGCACGAGAGGAACTTTGTACACGCTCGTGTGTGTGCGCGTGGCACGTTTGCGTGGGTAGAGCGCACTTCGCGGCGCGCGTGCCGACGAGACCTTCCCTCTTCTATCCTTCTCTTTCTCTCTCTCTCTCTCATTCTCTCATTCTCTCACTCTCTCATCCTCCAGCTCTCCCTTTTCATCCTCCTATTCCTCTACCACGTCTCGCGAAGCCCGCCGGCGTCGCACGCTCGTTCGGCCTGACTCTCCTCCATCTCCACACCTCCACCTCCTCCACCTCCTCCTCTTACTCAAGCAGCTCACAAGCATCGAGCCGCGCCACGCCAAGTTCCTCACGACTTCCTCTCCTTTCCTCTCGGCCGCCCACGAAACGGCCACCGCCCCGAGGGCTCATCGCTTCTCGGCCTCCTCTTTCTCTCTCTCTCTCTCTCTTTCTCTTTTTCTCTCCTTCTTCTTCTTCTTCTTCTTCTTCTCTTTGTCCCACCTCCTCTGCCTCGAGCCACGACCCCTTCTCTCTTCTCTCTTCTTCTTTTTTCTTTTACTCTCCTTTTATTCTTCCCAAGCCGTCGTCGGTCGCTCTCTACCCTCGTTGATCGCACGTCTCACACAATCCCATACACACACATACACAGACATATTCTATACACGTATACTTCTCTCTCTTTCTCTTTCTTTCTTTCTTTCTTTCTTTTCTCTCTGAATGTCCGCATGACGTCCGTATTTCTCTTCTTCTTCTTCTTCTTCTTCTTCGTCGTCGTCGTCATCGTAGTCTTTTCGTTCGTGAGACGAGACGGGAAGAGATTAAAGGCCGTCGTCGGAACCTAAACGATGCTTATCGCGCGCCGTCCGTCGCGCGTAGAAACTTCCTTCTCGTCGCTTGCAATACATGCATGTAATTTATGTACATTCATACATACACACATGTATACATACATATATATATATATATGCATCTGAGAAATACGCGAATATTTTCTGCGCAAGCATGCACTCTCGCATGCACTCTCGCATGTTGTATATTTGTATGTATGTATGTATGTATGTATGTATGTATGTGTCGATGATAACGAGACAAAGTCTTATCGTTAGCGAGGCGCCAATACGTTTATTATCACTACCACTACCACTACCACTTACCATCATCAACATTATTATTACTACCGTATGATACGATACGAGTTGAACGAGCGATTCTACTCGAGCTTTAGGCTACGCCGTCGTCGTCGTCGTCATGGTTTGGTAGTGGTAGTGACAGCGGCGGCGGCGGCGGTTCCCTTTGATCAAACGTGAACTTTCCTCGCGTGGAATTCTCAACGTAAAAATGATTAAAATCGTTTCTATATAAATTTGTATAAGTGTGAGTGTGGGCATATATATGTTTGTATGTATTATGCCAAACACGTTCTACGATTTCGGGTTGACTAGTTAGTTAGTAGCATATATGAGCTGTCTTATTGGTATATAGAGACATAAATGCATGCATAGACGCATACATATATGTAACTTGAAAATTGTTAACATGTAATTTTTTTCTAACACGTGTAATAACATTCCAAGCATCAGTTGACAACAGATCGTTTATATATATATATATATATTTTATTTTCTAAAAATTGAAATGATCAAAAGAAGAATACACACTTGTACGAAAGGGTTTTGATCAAATCTCTCTGATCGTACACATCTTAAATTCTTTGAACAACATTTTATCGGAAGATCGATTAAAGTCGTTTAACAAGAGTTCCCAAGTTCTTAACGATTTGAATGATCTACAAAAAATAATAACAAGTATATATATATATATATATCTTACAGGTTTCTCATTCGATATGTGTACTTATACGTGTGTATTGGTCAGACTTTCATATAAATATTCTAAACATGATTTTCTCTTCATATAATATCGTTATCATTTTGTTTTTGTTAGAAAAAGACGATTATTTAAGAAAATTTCTTTTCGATGGAAAATAATTAAAATGCAAACGACGAGAGGAAAGTTTAATCGAAACGACGGCCGATGTCCTCGTCGTCGTCGTCGTCGTCGTCATCGATAATGACCAGAAAGAGCCAAGAGAAAAGTTCAACGTCGGTCAGAAATGAGCTGACTAGAAAATATCTTTCCATCTCTATCTCTCTCTCTCTTTCTCTCTTTAACTGGGATTGTCTCAAGCGTTAAATTTACCTCACCCACGCAGATATCGCGTTACTCGAAGAGGAACGAACGTATCATTCGCCAAAATGTTCGATTTTGTGGGCTCTCGTGCGAGAAGAGAAGCTACGATACTCTTCGCCAGAGGCAGACTGCTAAAAAACACTTCCCTCTCTCTCTCTCTCTTTTTCTCCCAAGGGAAAGATAAAGTAAAAGAGAGAGAGAGAAAGAGAGAAACGCCGATATCCAAATCGGTGATCCTGCTTCGACGCCACCGCGAGAGACGACGACGATTACGACGACGGTGGCTGCTGAGTAATAAAACGTCAAGTATATCAGTCGGTCGGTCAAGTCAGTCAGTTGGTCGGTCAAGTTAATTATGTGAACAAATACGAACGTATGTGTCATATGTATATATATATATATATGCACGTATTGCGTGCCTGTACATATATATGTGTAGTACGAGAGACAAAAAGAGAGAGAAACACGATCTCTAGAGAGAGAGAGAGAAGAAAGAAGAAAAGAAAAGAGCGCGCGTAGCCGCAGGTAAGGGCGCGCGTGAGCGGGCAAGCGAACCTTGCTGACTCCCCTTGCCTTCCGTGCCCCTTGTAGAACCCAGCATGTTGAGACGGTAGTGCCGCCACTGCCACCGCCACTGCCGCCCGCCGCCGGTGCCACCAACGCCGCCGCCGCCGACAGAACGTCTCTTCCCCCAACCCCGTCAAGCCCACAACCCCACGCACGACCAACCACGGCGCGAGTGCCCCTCACCTCCTCGACCCACACGCGCCAACCACGGCGAAAAGCCGCCAGCGATCGCTCGTTGGCTCACAGTCCGTCAGCGTTCTTCCTTGCGAGAGCACGCGCTACGACGTATATTTACGCTCGCTCTCTGTCTGTCTAACCACTTGCGTTTAACGTTTCTATCTTCATTTCAAAATCTACAACCCTTCTTTGGGTTTTTTATTAAAGCTTTATCTCTTCTTCTTTTTTTTTCCCCCTTATTCTACGTTACATTTTGAATCGCGAAATTTACGCGCGATTTACGAATTACACCTTTAACGCGTATTTTTATCTGTGTGTCGTTTCTTTGTCAATTGTTATTATAAAAACAAAGACAAATATATAATAATAATAATTATTATTATTGGTGATTTTGGTTGTTGACTATTGACAATAGTTTTTGTTTATTTGAAATAAGACTGTGAGAGATAGTTACGAGTGTGTGTCACACTTTTGGGATTAATAACTGTATACTACAACGATTGGATTATATATATATATACTTATATATTTGTTTGTAGTTATAAGTGTGAATAAAAAAATAAAACATATGTTTTTTTTTGAATGACATTTGAAGTGTGTGAAAAAAAATTATTTCAAAAAAAAAAAGGATTGAAATACAAGAAATTTAAGGACTTGGATTGGATTCTTGTCAAAGGACGAGAGAATCGTTTTTGATTCTCATGTGTGTGTTTCTCTTTCTCGTGGTATAAGACAAAAAAGGATTGAGAAAAGAGAGAGGTGATAAGAACGATCAAAAGAAAAGTTCAGATAGAGTGAGAGTGTAAAAGAAAGGTAGAAAAAGAGAGACGTATTATACACTCTCTTTCTCTCTCTCACTCTTTCTCTTTCGTCTCTCTTGATCTCGCGAGTGACAAGTGGTCGACGACGACGACAACGACAACGACGACGACGACGACGACAACGACGCGCGCTCAACACCACGTGGCCGTTTGTATTTGCGCCGGGGTGTGTTTGTGTGCGTCCACATATACAACACATCAATCAAGTGTCAAAACACACGTTAAACATAATCCCAGAGAATAGTCATTTCTTTTCTCATACACGGTGGTGGTAGACTTTAATATTAAAAAGTTCATCAGTAAAATCTTGTGATGACTTTAACAAACAAAAAAATAAAAACATTATTTTGTTGAATAAAATAAAATAACAATTAGAGACAATTTATTTTGACGAAAGAGATTTTTTAATTACTTTACTACTTTAAAAAGTAAGAGGGACAAATAAATCTCACAATTTCTTATTATTCAAATTTACAATCTACCCAGAATTATTTTGACAAAAAAAAAAAATAAGAAAACAAATCAAAGATTGTCCTAAAAGATTGACGACAAAAATAAAAAG